ACCTATGAAGTGTTTTGATGAGTATAATCCTAGGTAGACCAGGATGATACTCTATATGTAAATGATGTTTTGATTATCTTTTTGTATTAGTGTTTATTGTAGTAATCTGTAGTGTGTAGGGGGGCGGGGCTCATCACCCCGGCGTGTCTCTGGCGTCCATGTAGGACCCCCCCTTGCTAAAGACCACCATGCTGTCCCTTTTGCACATCTTGGGACACTGGTGCGAAGCTAAAACAAAAAGGGGTTAATCATCTACGGTCTAGGGGCCGACTAACCTCTCCCTTAGGCTTCGGCCGAGCTTCCTGGTCAGTCACTGGATAGCGGTGTCGGGGCCGAAATCTCCGGCATAGCCGTAAATGCTTCGCGCTGCCATACTGCGCTTCAGCACTGGGTCTGGAGGTATGGTCCTATCAGAATTGATTTAAAAAATAATTTTCGAAGCACATTTAATGAGAAAGCATTACCTCCTTCGATATTCTGGTAGGTAGCATCTACTGGTAGAGTGAAGGCATTAAACCCGTGAAATAAAAAATACTAGTCAACGTGTAATAGTCAAATAGACACAAAAGAAAACAATGGAATTAGGGGGCTACTAAAGTGTATTAATCTAATATCTATTGCACGGGTTTAATGATTTCACTCTAAGCACAATTTGGTGTCCTTAGAAGATGAATATTTAATTTCTAATCTTTTCTTTTTTTTGTAGTTTACTACTCGAAAAATACACAGATTCTTCGCTACCACTTGAAGGTATTTATCTGTCGTTACCATAGTAACCTTGGGTTTATAAAACACCAATCAAAAAATATTAATTCGTCTAAACAGACTGGCTAATCTCAGTGTTTCCTCTTATCCAGACTCCGTTTATTTCGATGCTCAACACTACTGGTCGTTAGATGAACTCAATATTACCTTGGAAGACATTCCCGTAGTATCAGCTCGTAATTCCCCCTATTTCCCATCCACTTCCATCCCTTTTCCTCAACTCTCCCATCCTAAGAGAAATCGGCGGTCCTCTCCTTCCTTTTGGCGAACAGAAGTCATGACTGAAGTGAAAGATGCCAAGAGCACCGAGAAGGGACTTGCGTTCGGTAGAGTTGAAATTGTCCCTGGAATTGTCAACGAGAGCGTGTTGACGAACGGACAAGATGCCTGGCTCAAACTCGGCCATTTTACCAACAAGTGTTTAGGCGAGCCAAAGCTCTGTAAAGATGGCCTAACCGTATCATTTTGGATCAAATATCACGAGTCAGACAGCCAAATTCAATACTTCATGGGGACAAGCGGAACGGAGCAAGGCTATCGAGGCTTCCTCGTGTACCAAGATTTTACACGGGATGTCGAAGATCACTTGACTATTAAAGTCGAGAACAGTACGTTACTATGGGAACGCAGCTTTTATGTACCACGTGACACTTGGGTGCACGTGATGTTCACGTGGGATTCGACGGCAGGATTGTCTATTTTTACAAATGGTATCCTTGCAGGGAAAGATAATGTCGGCAAGACTACAAATCCTCTTAGTCCTTACTTCACGACTCTGACTGTTGGCAGACCAAACGATAAGTTTGTCTTCTCGAATGCGTCATTCGACGAGGTAGCTGTTTGGTACCGGAAATTCCACCCTCTGGAAATCGAGACGATTCATAATCGACTGAATGGGAATGAAATAAGAGATGAGTGGGAATTTTATAGGAAAGGTAAAGATTTATCGTTTATAGTAGCCTTAATTGATGATTTGGTCTTAGTTGCCGCATGTTGCAGGATCCATCCATGTGTTTGATTTTGGCTGACCTTTATTCTGTTATGCTGTTATTTAGCCAAAGTAGAACTGATAAAGGAAGGAGAGAGTCAAATAATGGCACTGCTATACATACGTAAGTACATCTTCTTTTCTGGAATTTTTACGAATTTCCCTCCAGTTTTTTGATGCATCTGGTTTTCCTACTGTATAGAGTTTGGCGTGGTGACGATACTTTTCCTGGCCGTGGTGATATATTTTCCAGACAAACCCCCAAGACCACCGAGTCACTCAGCCAAGATCAAGCGAGAAGACTTTTCAGCCGGGGTAAAGCAGATTTTCAGGTAAGTAAGCAAGTGTGATCTCGCTGACAGAATGCACTAAGCAATGCAGCCGCGTCTTTCATTCGAATTCACCGACTATTCAAAACTTTCTCAAAGTTTTTTTTACCTATAGGCTGTACACTTGACTTGAACTGAGCTAAAAATTGCTTTATTGACTCTAAAATAACGCGCATACTATGCTAAATGTGTCATTTATTACATGTTGTAAAACCAGGTTGTGATTGGATGATGAAGCCGCAACGGAAATTAATTCAGTGTTCCGGCATATCATTCGCTACCTTTCATAAAATCCTACATACTTAACTGGTAGAAGTTTAAACTAAATAATGCGTTTATTTTGTTTAGAAATCCTCACTTTTGGACTCTTGGCTTAGTGTATGGAGTAACTACAGGTAATATTTTATAATCATGGGATACCTGTAAAATAAATCCCATTGTGCATTGCGCACCGACGTGAATACCAAATATGAGGTATTGCTATTTTTACAGTATTTAAAAAAATCATGTTTGTATTAATTTTAGGTGTTTACAGTGGTTGGGGAGCATCGTTGGCAGTGAACCTTGAGACCTTCAATATTTCTCAGGTACAAAACGCTTTAACCTCCCTCTCCCCCGCGGGAGAAAAACGCACCCACTATTCAGTACCTATAAAGATTTACGATGTTATCAAATGTTTTCAGAAAAATGCAGGTTGGCTCGGGTTCTACGCTACTATCGCTGGTATCGGAGCTGGTTTGATTCTAGCCAGGTAAAATATCAGAAAACTATGCTAAACATTTATTCATCTAGTCATCATGTGTACATTGGACTCTGGTAACTCGAATCAGTAGAAAGAGCATAAAACATCCATTTATCTATCACGCCTTTTCTAATAAAGGTGCATTCTGGTCTAGCTTCGGTGAGCACAACCCCCTGCCACCACATAAAGCATAATGAGCAAAAGATGTTTGCACCCGAACTAGACCAGGATGCAGCTCGTTCGCCATCTCACTGAGATAATGCACATGTAAGGAATCATGATTCAGTATTTTCGTTTCTTTTTTTAAGAACCAAAATATACTATTTCAAGATTCCAAGATTCAGTTTCTCCAACTGCGAGGAATTTATATTCTTGGTTTAATAACACGATAAACAAAAAGTACCTTCATATTTTTGAGTCTTGCTGACAGACTCCACCAAATATGCCACGACTTTCTGGACTTTGAGCTCCAATTTCCCCAGAAAAGCAACACTGTGAAATTAAAACCATTGATTCTATGGCTTTATTATGAAGTACGAGCAATAAACGGAGTTAAAAGGACTAGTTTACTTACAGCTACACTTACTTCCTCGATCCAAAATGGCGGAAAAATACTCACAAAATCAGTCACGTGATTCTAATCACCGTCTTTGATTGGTTCTCCAGGTGCGCAGATCTCTTCGGAGGAAGAATGAAGGCTTTGCTGGTTTTCCTATTCTTTGGTTCTTCCGGTTGTTTTCTTTGGTTTTCATTGCTTTGCTTGAGAATGATTCCTTTTGATAACAGTAAGTTAACAAAACTGTATGCATTTGTTTATACCCAGGGTATGGCTTGGCTAGTTTCGCTGAAATGTCTAAAAGAAAATTCAGTTTATTTATTTTTAGACATAAGAAATGAGAATGGAAAAAGTACCAGTTTGAAGCATGTTTAAATGTAGGCTGTGGCACGTCTATTTACAAAGGAAACCTTATTGCTGGCTTCATAATCATAATCGTAACTCCTCGAGGGAATTTAAGAATTTCAGTAGCGCTTTTTTAAATTCAATTTATAATCTTTATAATCAACCTAGTTTTCATGCAGTAGTGCAGTAGTCGTGGAAAAATTTTAAATGTTGCTTGATAATATTTCCCTTCAATGCAAGATTAAAAGTTGAATAAGCCTCGTGAGCTAAACCAGTAATTTGCCGTTCCGCATAACTATAGAGGACTTTAGAAATGCGTTTACTCTTATATCGATATGATGTTAACTCCCACATTAAAAATATTTATTGAAATACTTTTGTTTATCTTTTTAAACAGATTCACTGTACAAGTCAAGTATTCTCGGAGGCTTCTTTGTCAGTGGTACCATCCCGTTGTTCTACGAGTTAACCGTAGAGACCACATACCCGATAGCCGAGGGTGTGACTACCGGGCTTTTAACTCTCATCAATAATGCATTCACAGTGATTTTCCTTCTCATTCTTACAATTCCTGGTGTTGGTAAGTTATTTGTGTTTTCACGGTTTAACAGAGATAGGGGTCGGTGGTGGTAACTATTCCAATGATGAAGATATTTCTTTTGAAGATGGAATGTAGACTAACTATAACACTGAATTGGTTTCTCAAAGGACCTAAACCAACCCAAATGATATATACCAACCATTCACATTGCCCGTGAAAGCCAGAGCGACTTTCTTGTCACTAATCGTTGCAACTTCCTTACAGGTACTGTATGGATGAACTGGTGTATGTTTGGCGCATGTGCAGGCTGTATACCCATCATGCTCAGCTTCAGAGAGAAATACCGACGGCTTGACATCGATAAGGGGACAAAAAGCGACGAACCGACAAAAAAAGAATCGCTCGAGTCATCGGTACCAGACGGTGCAAATAATCGACTAGATAAAAAAGAGTCAGAATTATAAAAACCACTGATAATTTACAGATGAAGATGATATTTATATGAAGAGATTTATGAACGTAACCGCGCGAAGACTGAACTCGGAGACGTACATCGAGGTATACAAGACGCTCAGCAACTGCAGTTACCATAGCGACTCGGATCAAGAACATTTATAGTTTGACGATTGTTCACCAAACTAATCAGAATGATTAAAAAATGGGGATATTTATATGCGCTACTCAAAAGATTATCAAAATAATTAATATGGGTTTTATAATGTCGTACTGAAAAATTTGTGATTGAATGGCGTGAATAAATAGATGGGAGGCAAAATCACAGTGAAAATAACTGGGTCTTAGCGTATCAAATTCCGTATAAAAAAAGAGCAAATTTCGATGATCATGATGGTGACTTAGACGGGGCCTACACGTATCCGGAAATTTTTGTATCCGCATTTTTTTTACGGATACGGGTAGCGTCCACACGTGTCCGGAAATTTTTGTGACCGTATCCGCAAATTCTACGAAAACGGACACGTGTGGACGGTGAAAACAATTCGAATACGCTGCGTGTGGACGCAAACACTTTCGTATCCGCAAAAAAATGTTTGCGGATACAAAAATTTCCGGGTACGTGTGGACGGGGCCTTATCCTTCAAACAAGATTCCTCGCGCTGTGATAGGTTGATCAATTTTGATGTCCATTTTGTGACCGTCACCGTGCATCATTTTCTGTACAAAAATGACGGCATCCGTGGAACCAATAACAGCGCGCGGCGGTACGAGTTATTTAACGAGGATGTCGTGATATAAAGTAAAGTGACGCCACGGCAAGGCGTTTACCACCTTTACCAAAATAAACGCCAAAAAGCGGGGATCATCGAAGAAAGCTAAATGGTCGGGGGAAAATAGCACCACAAAATATTATTGACAAGACTTTGTTAGACATTTACAATAATTTAACAAATAAAAAGATTTTCCTACATAATATGCTTATAATATCATTAATATCAAAGAATAATAGGGGAAAGATTGATTCTCACACCAATACCATACAGAGACAGATAGACAGACAGACAGACAGACAGACAAATAAGTAAGGCAGACAGTCAGGATTATATTGACAGGCACACAGTATCAGTACCAGCTATCTGTTCATTAGTGCAGTTTTGGTTAGCAAGTCAAAGCTTATTTTCAGTCCTCATGAAAGGATTTCTATCAAAGATGGCGGCCGAGGCCCCCAACACAAGTAGCCCAAGCCAGCTCAGTAATCAAAGAAATCGTCCTGTGGTCGGCACTCGTATACTTTCCACACTTCATATACAAACGATTTGGAATCATCAGCTGAGTATTGTCCTAGGGCTCCACACTTAAACTAGCCAGCTCGAGTGAAATTAAGTCAATAAAGAAATAGCAGTTAACAGTTTATCAAGCTAATAGTCCAATCCAAGGTGGCAAAACTGTTCTTGTATCATGATCGTTATTCACTCATCATCAACATTCCCGGAGATACTTCAAGAAAATTTGATGAACCACGATGCGCTGTCACCAATTCGCTACTTCACTCCTGAGTAAAATCCCCGACAGAAATATTTCTGACGGCGTTCTTTGACAACACAAGGCGTGAAGGTCGAGTGCAATTGATGCACATTTCCTACTCTTTGACGCATCACTCTTCTGGTTCCTGATATCCAATGAGGTTGTCCTCTAAAGTAGCATACAAATAAGTTCCCTAAAATAAATAGGTCGTCCATCCTGTGTTCCTGTGAGAAGTTTCAGGATTCTATCGCGCTAAACTCTTGAGAGGGAAAAGCAGACCAAATGGTATTTACATGTCATTCACATCCATGTACAGATGTATAGAGAGCTTGTTCGTCGTTGCTCTGTCTTCCTCTCCGTGAACTGTGTAAGGAGGTCTTTGTGACAGAAAGATGGTCTAGTCATCATCAATGACAATGGCCTCGACTTCTGTTTCCTTGTTGGTTTCTTGTTTGATTTGGTCTTGTGTTTTCAGATCTTGAGTTATTTGTTTCGTGCTGTGTTCCTGAAGTTTAGCGAGTTTTTCCTTCAGCTGTTGTGGTTTCATTTCCAGCAACATATCTCGTAGTTTGGGGTTGCATTTGACTTCTCTCCATGGACGACGTGCAACCCTTCGCTGAGCATCGATTGAGACTGTTTTACGTGCTTTCCTGATTAAAACAACAGAATATATTAGTTAAATCATCATCGCAATCGTCCTCAACGACCTGTTGCCCACGATTGCTGGTTTTCATAGCCGCCATCTTGGTTGAATTTAAAGAAAGATTTTTCATTAGTTTATTTTGCGGTTATATTATCCAACATCATGATGGCGGCCATTTCTTGTGTTATTTAAAACTCTTGGCAATGACTGCAAACACACGATCGTCATCACTACATTATCTATTGTCGTAATCACCATCATTACCATTACCACCACCATCATCATCAATATCATCACCATTAATACCACTATCACCATTCTGACGGTTGCCAGCATCACAATTATTATCTTTGGTCGTCATCATCATCATGATCATCACTACCACCACTACCACCAACCTCCTCATCGCCATATTCATTATCACCATACTCACAGTCGCCATAATCACCATTATCTTTCATAGACATCACCATCATCACTATTATCACTACCACCACCACCATCACTACCACCACTCTCCTCAACACCATAAACGTCATCATCCACATACTCACAAGATCGTCATCGTTACTATACTTATATTTTGTCGTCATCACCATCACCATCCTCATTACTACCACCACCACAACCAAATCATCAGTAATCATCCCCACCATCACCACCACCACCATCGCCATCATCATCACCACCATCTTCACACGCTCGTCATCACCACCACTACCACTACCACCCCTCTCCTCATCACTATAATCATCATCACCACCACCATCATCATCTTCATATTTGCTATCAGTACTGTGGTAGGTAGTGTGGTTTACCTTATTTTACGGTTTGCAGTAAACTGGAACTCCTCTGGTGGATCAATATACTGTGCATTCACCTTATCACGTGAATAGGCACCATTCCCTTGAGAGAGGCTGCGTCTGTTCACAACAGGGGCTCCCTTGGGCATACTTTTGCTGTTAGAATTCACCAGTCCCCCAGTCTTCTGGGGTGAATTCTTGGGTACCAGAAAGGATTTAGGCTTCTGAATTTGTGCACTATAGTTTTGGGCGTGGTCTAAACCAGCTTGTCCATTGTTGTAAGAGGTCACAGAGTGTTGGGCGTAGGGTACAATCTTATTGGACCCAGGCCCAAGAGTGGGAGTGACGTCACAGTAGGCTGGGTAGCTTCTCTGTTTGGGTGCTTCTGCAGAGGCATGAACCGTTTGTTCGTGGTGTGTTAGACTTGCTGTTAAAAATACACAAAAACGTGGTAAGTATCTTTAACTAAAAAATGACAGACAACAGAGGTTTTTTTTACGTTTTTTAAATTTTTACTGCTGGATATTTTTCTTGTATAGTCTGGGGGATCGAGGAAATGAAATGACAACAGAGAACAGACATTTTGGATGAAGAACATAGAGCAATCATTCACCTTGGTTGTGGAGTATCTTGCCACAGTAAGAGCATTCACAGCCTTTCTTGCCTAGAGGAGACGTGGCACTCAACCTCTTTGGAGCAGGACCTAAAAAGAAAAGTCAGGAAAATGATTGAGCGATGTATTTAAGATCATGTCAAAAGATGAAATGCTTAAGCAATGCATTCAAGGTCATGTCCAAAGACGAAACGGCTAACGTTATCAATGCTTATTTTTGAAGGACCAAAAAATCATTAATTACACTCCAACCCATGAGATGGTGTCTCCCTGACGATAGGGTCTATAAGGTGACCCTAGTGCTTGGGTAGAGAATATTGTTCTGTTTGTTAAAGGGATACCAAAATCTAAATAGTGAAGATGACAATGAAGATAAGTAGCAACATTGCCTTACCCTATTGCATTATCTCTTTTATTATTATCATCATCATCATCATTCTTCTTCTCTCTACTTACTATCTATTCCATTTTGTTGTATTCCACTTCCTTCATAGCTTCTCTTGCGAGCAAGCATGTGATTGGTTGTGGGTGTAACATTCTTAGCAGGAGGAATGGCAGAATACTTCCAGTTGCTTGACTTGGGAGTTGTAGCCTGTGAAGACGACAGATAGCTCTTGACTGGAGGCATCATCTTTCGAGCAGGGGATGTCACCAGTAACCCAGGAGAGGTTGGCGGAGAGGTTTTATCTGCACCTGCATTCATGTTGTGCAGTGGTAACAGGTTTGGTTTGGATGGCTTTCTTGGTTTCTGTGGATGAGCCTTAATGAAGTCTACTGCCTTCTCAAGGACTCGTTTCTTCATTTTACGTTCTGATTTGAGGATAGCTGTTTGTTTGGGATCAGTTATCCTTTTCAAACCTGCGACAGAAAATACAATTAATATGAACAAACATAYTTCCTACTTTCAATATTCTATAATTGTAAACTGGAGTCATTTTGACTTATACTTCGCAAATTCATATTCATAATCATACTTCTCAAATTCATCTTCATAATCATCATCCCTCTTCATGCAAGATTAATATGGCAATGCTTCTTCAATTATTTAGTCATTTATGAAATTTGTTTATGGCAAAAATTCTGTCCAGATTCTTGGATTCAAGTTGACTTCTTTGTTCACCTTGGTTGAGTCATCAATACTTTTGGCATAAAATAAGCTAACTACTATAATTTATACATTACATAACACAATGACATACATTGTGTCTTGATTTCAGCAATGCTCATGTTGGCTCCTGGTTTTCTACATGCATGAGTCAGATCAATGAGATCACTACAGAGTCGACGAGCAATTCTGGTTAAGGATGTTGTCCTCAAGTAGAATGGTGAGCGAGGTTTGAGCTTTCTTGGGCTTGGTGGTCGATATCCATGGCCTCCTGTTAAGTGCCTCTGGAGGTGTGGTTTACTGTTGAATGACTATAAAAAAAGATGATAAAAGCCATTAATATGTGAGTAGAGTTGCTTGTTAGTTGTCTATTGTGCTTGGAGGGGTTTTCCTGCATTCCTCCCTCCACAAAAATGAACTTCGAAATTCTAATTTTATCAGGGAATGAGAACCACAGCATAGGCCACTGCATTAAAGCGTCATTTACTCCCTTGCACACTCCTTTACGCCCTTCTTTTGTTCAATTAATTAGCATCAGTTGTCTCACTACCCCCATTAAGAGATACAAATTTGAATGAGAAGTTTAACACTCTACCTTATCACATCCTCTGACAACACACTTGTAGGATTTGTGAGTAATCATGTGATTTGATAAGCGTTCTAAGTGAGAGAACATCAAAAACATTAGCAATATCCACAAGCAAGATTAATTGACAATTCACTAAGGGTCTGAATAAAATCCTGTGACTTGATAGGCATTCTAAGTGACAAAATATCAACAAACATGAGTATTAGCAACAAGCAAGATTAATTGACAAACTAATGAGGGTCTGAATGAAACTCTCAAGCACTGTTTACAGTAAACTATATTTTTATCAAGTTTTATTCTGTTGAATATTTATGATGTACCTGCTCTGTTGAAGACTTTGCCACATACTCTGCATGTGTATCTTGGCTCCAGGCCATCTTGACCTCGCCCAGAGAAACCATCTAGAGAAACAAAAGGGAAAAAATTAGCAAAAATAATTAACAAAACACATACAACATAGACTATATCTCTTTCAGAAAGGGTGGATCCAGGAATCAAAGAAAGGGGTGGGTCTGAAGAAAGGGTGGGATGAAAAAATTCATTCTGAGAAAAACAAAAAACAAAAAACAAAAAAAAAAAAAAAGCAAAAACAACTATGTTTAAAGAAAATACATCACTTAAAGGGATGCAGCGTGCATGGTCCCATCCCTAAATCCGCCTCTGATCAGAGTGGACTCTTTAGGTGCATATTCCTAATGCAGCTCAATTTGGATGGTCAAATAACAGGACTAGCTACCTAATAATAATATAAAGTTCTTAACAAACACATCATACAACGTCTCGATGCTTTTTTACCTGGTCTCTTAAGGCCTCCATATTTTTTCCAGTAAATCCAGCACAATGTACAAAGCCATAGCTTGTGTTGCGAGTTGTTTGGACTCCAGGGGTACCACTGCTGTGATGATGTACCTTGGAATACAGAAGATAAATTATTTAATATCTCCTATACTGTTATCACAATAGTAAGTGGACAATGGTTTGTTAGTTACTTCATCCTGTCCAAATTGACGACTCTTAAAACTTCAGTGTATGCAGGCTTAGCCTCACTTCTGAGGTCGGTAAACAAAAGCAGCAATTATAATAACAAAACAACCAACTCCTGGATTCAAGGCTAATCCCGCATGCACTGGAGATTTAAGAGTCATCAATTGTTGGTGGTATTTAATRAAAGATTTCTTAAGAGCTTCCTTTTTCAATTCAAACTACACGACTGTCACTTCTTTAACTCTCTTCTGAACTGTATCTAATTGCCCTAATTCACTATGACGTCACTGCTTGTTTATGTGAGGGATAGAATCGCCAAATCCAATAGAAAATTCAACAAAATATGCTCCTAGCAAAACAGTTTAATCTAAAATGGTCAGTGAATTTGCTTTGATTTGACCCCATCCAATGACCATGATCCTTTGTGTTTAAACAATAGATTGTTGAAGATTGTTTTGATGTGACGTCATAGTTAATTAGGGCAATTATCTTGGTTTGTGTTGCTCAGTGGATGGATGGCAAACTGTTCACATATTCCAAAGCCATGTTAGTATCCACCAGATCGATCCATGAGAATCACTACAAAGTCAGATGCTCACATCTAAGGTCCAGGCTCTCAGGTTCTAAATGCTTTAAGTYTTTGTCATTTAACTCTCTTGAAAACCATAAATATGAAAATAGTAACTTACCAAAGCACCCCTCACAAGTCACTCCAACAAGATTACTTGTAACACCAGGGGGAGGGGTCAGGATGATTGTCGATGTTTGCTTCTTGCCTGGCTGTGCTGGGTTACTCGGTGCTCTAATAAATTTATATAATAGATATCAGTACATATATGGCTTTATTATATAGGACAAGAACATGATACAAGGGATGGTCTTAATGACTTACAGTCCAGGAATATAAATCTGTGTTAGGTTGCATTCTTTGGAGACAGCCTTTAAACGTTTCTATAAGGAAAAAAATTGTTAAAGTTAACATATAAATATTTTCCTTGGCAGACAATAAGACAACAAATTATTATTAATCATTATTATTATAAATTATTTGTAAAGGTACGAAGTGGTCTACCAGAAAATTGATGCAAAGGGGAATTTTCAATGTTAAAAAAATAGGAGGGGGGGAGGGTAGTGGTGGTGGTAGGGTAGGGGTTTGGAATGCAAAATATAGCAGACTAGTAAAAATGTATGTGATTGTGTAAGTCAAGAAGTGGGGTGAGCTGCATAGACTTGAAAATTTAGTGGATATATTCCTAAATATTTATGGTGCTAAATACTGTTTTTCTTTCCCAATACTGTGTTTTTATTTCAGACCACATTTCATTCTCTTAGGTATTATTTCCTTTATTTACCAGAAGACAAAGTAATGTGGATACAATTCAAACAAAATATCTTATTTTTAAGCGAATGACACATGGTCTGAAAGATGTCTATTATCTTTTTTTCCTTTTTGCGATGAAATTCATAATAATAATAATATTTTTACTTGGCATAAAGTACCTGTTGTAGATATCGGTCTGTGGTCTTCCACATGTAGTAGTACTCCACTATACTGGACAAAGTTTTCCATGGCAGCTGTTCACATCAAAAACATTAATGTATGTAAGTGCATAGCAACATCTTGCTTAAAATTGTTAAGGGGTTCATACAATAATCACCATGACAACCACAATGGTATCAACTGATAACAATACTTGATATTGGATTTTTCTAATTAATGACCATCATTGTCAGTAATTACAATTATTGTTTCTTCAATCTAGGGCATTTTGATATTGAAATATTATTCTAGCTTTCTGGCTAAGYGCCCATCAGGGATAGCTAAATGATACCCTAGATTGAAGAAAGAACCATAATTACTGAATATGATACCAACCTATTTACGATTACCATCACGTCTACGATCATAAAAACAGATCTTATGGGCTGATAAAAGTATTTTATTTCACAAGAATTCTTCAAAATTGGTATAACAAACAAAAAACATGATCGCAGAAAAGGAAACAAACAAACAACAAAAAAAGAAAGAAAGTTAGAAATAAAGGGATAACTTACAAAATCTTTTTGAATGTCATTGAAATCCTTGCCATATTTCTGTAAAGCTTCTTCGAACAGATTTGCTTCTCCTACGAAATAAATYTTTATTTATTTATTTCATGATCAGGCTGTTTGGAAAAATTATTAAACACCAAGTTTAACCCAGGTATCTTTAACAAAGGAGTCATTGAATATCTTGGGAGGACTGAATAGAAACTGGACAAACATGAAAGCAATGCCATGAATRTCTCCAATTTCTCAATGACGTTTTTTCCTTCAAGCAAGTGCAATCTACATAAATTTGTCAAGCTCAATGGTCTTATACAACTATGTATATTAAGAATGTTCTTTTCTTCAGCCTCGTTAAAAGGAGTCCCTTGGCTTGATATGAAATTTTGCAATGCCCTTCAGTCTAAAATATGTCACTGGATTGTGAATCCCAGGAATTAGTTAGGAAATAGCCAGACCACAAATGAACCATTGTAAACTAGCAAATATACCAATTTTGTTACATCATAGCTGCCATGTTGGTTGACTATACAAAGCATTCCTCACTAGCTTCTCTYGTTAGATCAACCAACAGCTGTTTCATCGTTATTTATATCTCAAGGGATTTTTCAGTCATGTGGTTGCACTCCGAGAATAAAATGCAGTTACCTGATGACCACTCCTCCATTTCGTCTCGGCAAAGCACTGGTCCACCAGATGGTACCAGATTAGATAATGCTTTACTCAAATTATAATTGTTATTGTGAAGGTTTGTCATCGCATGAAACTAAATAAAAAGGAAACAAACACACAACAATTAAGGATTTCATCGTTATAATGCAACTTCTGTAACCTGGAATGAATTTTTTTWATTCTAGAATTTGATTGGTTCTCACTATCTAAGTGGCCCCAGTTATAGTAGTCGCACTTTAATTCAGTATAAAATAATTCCATGTGTAGATTCAATCCAATGAATAGCCGCTTCAGTGTACAACACAAAGTTTAGGTATAAGTAATATGGCCTGGGTTTAAACTCCTAGTACACAATACTTACAAGTGTGACATCTCTTGACGCTGCAGCGGCACTCATGTGGAGACTGGGTTGTTTTACAGAACTACTGCAGTCCAACGCTCTGGCAAACGTCCCTACAGATCTGAAATTAGACATTTTGTAGTTAGAAATAAGAACTATTTCACTGCGTCTTGGGTCAACCAAAGTAAATGAGCGCTACATTCTCAAGCACTGTGTTGTGGGTGCTAATGGATATTTAGGAAGCTCTTTTCAACACAAGTGAAGTGAGTACTGGGATGCATTAAATTTGTGAAATGCATTTTTATATTAAAATGTATGATTACTATGTTACAGTGCAATGAATAAAGGTATGACCATGTTTATGTATTAACATACTATACACAAGCTTTTGTATGTGAAACCAACACTTTTCGATGCAAGGTTGGTTGGTTTTACCAAATTAGGCATGCAAAATGAATATTTCATTAAGAATTAAAAATTCATAGCAATATTATATACATACCTTGCGACAACAAGAAATTGATCAATTTCCCTGTCAGATAATACATTATCTGGCATCCACACCAAGGTCTCCATGTCAGTAAGATTCCTGTTATCGTTTTTAACTAGATAAAAARAAACAGGAGTGAGAGTATGTACTTGTAAAGAATGACCAAGAATGTCAGCCATTGTTGTTACGTACTGTCTATGGTAGACTTTGGAACACTGGCTTGATAGTCTGTTCCAATACCCATTTCACCTCTGTCAGCAACAAGGGTTTTTTGTTGCGGGTCGTACACGAGGAAGTAACAAAACCAGTCCTATATAAAGGAACAAAAAAGAAAATAGTTTCATTGAATCAATATTTTATGAACAAATAAAATAAGATACAAAACATGGAAGAAAGGATGAAAGAAAGAAACGAAGAAAAATGAAATGAAGAAAAACAAAAGGAAGCAAGCAAGCAAGGAATGGAGGAAGGAGGGAGAGAGGAAAGGAGGTAAAGCAAAAAAATGTGTTCGGCTTTATGTTTCAGTGAATGAACTATGATTTTCCATTTAAACTTCTAGTAACATTGTGTAGTTCCAGAAAATATCCATACCCCCCCCCCCCAAACATAGGAATTTGGAATTTCTGGGGTAGAAGGGGGTCTGAAAAACAAATCTTCCATGGGGGTGGGGGTATAGATAAGTTTTGGAACTACACATTATGTTAATAATACAGTATATGCTTTATATATCATTTTTTTAAAATCATGAGTACAAAATAACTTTTTCTATAGAGACTTTCTAACAAAGTTTCACTAAATGATTTCCATGTGTGGTGTTGTAGATTTTGCCAATAAATGCTTTCAAACTCAAAATACTGTAATTTGATAGTCAGGAATCAAGACACCAGACAATGTAAAGACAATTGAAGGGGTTTGGATTACAGATACAAAACAGCCTGTAAAAAAAGGTCTTAATAATCATTTATAGACTGATTTTGCATAACGGAGATTCAAAAATACAGTATATGGTACAGCTATCGTGTGCTGTGATGACAATATTGCCATGTCGTAGCATCTTAACCTTACGAATACTTATCTCAAGTATCTTAGGCTTTTTTTAGTTATAAAATTTACTAAAACTAAAGCATATTTAGACAGAATTTTTTAAGAAAAGTACGATAATTTTAAGAATGCAAAAATCACTGATAAGAATGTCAACTATCCCTAATATGTTTAATATGTGTTTTTATTTAAATAGGTTAATATCATGCTAATGAGTACAAGAGCAAGAAAGAGCAAGAATATAATGTTTATGAATGAAATCTATTCTATATTAGAGCATGTCAACCATAGATATAAATCTAAATATTTGCTCTATATGTTAGAATATAAAAAAACACTGAAAAATATTTTCAATTGTAGTGAAAATGAAAATAGAAATTGTAAGTGAATTTTAGCATAATGAAAATATCAGATTGCGCTGATACATTGATGATAGCAGGGTTTTCAAATAAGCATCTGCATGGGCATGGACATAATTCTCTGACTTAAACCAACACAATCATATTATTTCAGAACTTAATGAAAAACCTGCCAGTACTCTCTGACTAGTTCATGACCTTCTCCTATCATTTCAAAACTTAATGAAACCCCTGTGATAGAGATTTAATCAACTTTAGGTGTAATGTTGACAGAACTATTTCAGTGCATATGCCATTCCCTTGAGAATAAGATTCTTTGTGAAGTAAGAAACGATATCCAAAAGAGTACAATACTTAACAAAAGAAACAATACTCAATGGAATGACGAAGGCACAAATCTTTTAGTATTTAGTCAACTAAATTTGTACAGTACCTCTTTGTCCAAATACTTTGGAAATTCCTCTGCTTCATTATACAGTGTTACCAAGCATTTCCCCCTGAAGAAGAAACAAGTCGTTATGATCAGCTAAATGGTAAGTTTTCACCTAAATAGAACATGGGTGATTGGGCATAAAGGACAGTGTTTGAATTTTATCATAGATTAGTTATGAGATGCATGGAATTCATAGGTCGCAAATACATAAAAATTGTCATATTTTATGTCAAAAATACTGGTATAGGTCCAGTGATGATTCCAAGAATCTGGCCAAAAAATTTTTAAATGTAAATGTTTTCTTGATGTAAACTCCTTTCAAGAGATTACTCCATAGATGCATAGACGAGCACGAGTCCCCAGGCTCTAGTCAATTAAGCAAATTCCTGACCCTTGAAATGTATTCAAACAAACAAAAACAAAACAAAACAAAACAAAAAAAAAAACAAGAATTGTAGAAAAATTAAAGGATAAATGATGTTCTGTTTACAAGGAGGCTAATTGTACACTGAAACCTTTCCTGCTATAATTGGTGACACATTTTTTGAAGTGGAACAGGAAACCTTTCTTTGTAATTTAATTACAGGATGTGCATGAATAAATGCATGCACACTCATAAAAAATCAATTAAAGAATGTTTTAATTTTAATAAATCAGAGGAATACTACTCCTATAATTTTCTCAAACATTTCACTAAACAGACACAATAAAAAGTGGTAAGAATACATGTAGGTACACATTAAGGGGATATTTTATCGATTATGAGCAATAATGTCAAAAAGTGCCAAAAACTAGACTTTCATACGAGTTTTGATCACAATTTTCGTTTTGGGATAACATTCAAAACCTCTCAAAACAGCTAGAAACTGATGTACTATGATAAAATGCCTGTTTGAAGCGGTATTTTCAATTGTACAAAGATGTTTTGTTGCATTTGTGTTAGAATGTTGCTTTGTTAGGCTTTTTTATAGAAAATATATGGGAAATAAGCAAATGAAGGCATAAACCTCATTTTCGAATAAAAGTTTTGCTTTGGGTTAACACTTTGATTCCACTTTCATCAGTCATCTCCACTTCCAAACAAGTTAAACTTTCTGAATAACAAGATTTTAGCCTTGTACAGCAGCCTTTCTTCAAGAAAATAGTTTTTGGCGCTCACTGCTTGAATACGAAAAGAATTCTCTCTTAAGCTAACAATGAAAATTGTGAATGAAAAAATATTTATTTTTTATGCTTAACACTTTTTACACTATGCTGACTTAGTGTCAGAGGATTTTGAGGAAATAATTCTTGGATATGATCTTACCTTATTGTGTTTGCGTTAATATTCTCATACTGTCGACTTAAGAAAACCTCACGATGACCCAACTGGTGCCGTACCACATCCTCTAGCTCATTGTCTCCCATTTCAATTTCTGCTTCTTCTTCGGCTTGTACTGAAATCAAAGGAATATTTATCATTGAAGAAACCCTTTGCAATTTATTCTTCCATTAACCAAATGGAATGGTGGCAGTTACATTTTCTCAGAGTCTCTTGGGAAAACCAAAAAGAACACATGCTTTGAGAAGGAGAAAGTCAAAAGCTACTTATAGTGTAACATAACTCTACTAAATATAGATAAATAAAGGAGATTATATAAAAATCTTTTTAACTATTGAAGTTATCCAGATTTCGTGACTGATTGCATATAAAGACTATAATATAGTATCATTCTCATATTATGATGGCTTGTGGAAAAATCGTATATGAATTAGTCTGACACTTTGTATTTTTGGCCAGACACTTCAGCTTTAAATTACAGTAGTTAATAGTTTATGGCCTTATGCATGTACTGTGAAGTTTTTAAAGTTAAAGTGAATAAGTTCACTGTTTAGACTATATGAAAAAAATGATGATAATGGTAACAGCTATTTTATGTTATATACATGGAAAAAAAGAAAAAAAAAATTCTAAGAGGTTGTACTGGAATATTCAAAAAATATACGTAAGAGGTAAAAAGATTAGACTGAACAATAACAAGTACACAAATACTAGTATGTTATATCGCAATTTCAATAAAATGAATGCCACTTCAAGTGATAATTTTTTTCTTTGTCTCCCTCTCCTAATCCCCCTTCATTCTTTGCTCTCTCCTTGTGCAAGTAAATTTTCAATAAACTAGCAACAAGTGACAAGTTGGCTGCCTTGGGCTAAGAGTATATAACAAGGAACAAAATTCATGGATAAGTGTCAAAAGGATGCCAGTAGTTTTTGGCATCTGGAACAGTTTTCCATGTTCGATAAGAGTACAGACCATAGAAAAGAGACCCATTTTTTCAAAGTATTTTTAGTGATCAAAACAACCAATGGAAAGAGCTTGTGCTCGTTGATGTCAAATTATTTGTCTGTCCTCTTATCDATCATAAAAAATAGCCAATCATCATGCAAGAAATTAGGAATTTGTGATAAAATGAAAAATTGAGCAACTGTGGGGGTCCCATGGTTGTTTTTCCTCTAAGGGGCAGTTGAATATTGTAAATTGAAGTATCGACCTTAAAATATATTTTGGTTGAAACAAAATCTATAAAAAAATGAGACTTAACTCTTACCGTAGCACACAAAAAGATATTTTTCATTTTAAAATAATTATCATTAATGCACAAATGTTGAAGTGTCTCACTGTTGTTAAGATAAAAGGTAAGGTAGTGTCTAATATAGAATTTAGTAGTGTTCTATCTCACCAATGCGAATTAATAAATTGATGTTGAAGAAAATTGACATTCTGACATTATGTTTTAACCTAACACAAAAGATAATGTCTCTGTCATATGATACTGTACCCCAAAAGAATATTTCTTAAAGAAAGTGCCTTTCATGAATGACAATCAATTTTTTTTGAACAGTATACGAGATACTGGGCTATGGGCTAACAGTCAATGCAATATTGGTCATGAATTATAGATTTGAATACCTGGGATGAATACCATGCATTCAATAGGTTCATTTTACTCACTCAAATGCTTCTCTGCTTGTAGCCCAAGAGTAGAGGAAAGATCCCTTTTTCTATAAAATGCCTGTACTTTAGCCTCAACTTGTCCATTACTTGTCTGATTGAGAAAAACAAGCGATTAAAACCCAAGCTTTAGACCGTACTTGGCAAACAAGGATTGCCAAACCATGGGTGTCGAGCCCCCTTAACAAAACCTCACCTTCGTCAGCTCCTCAATTCTTCGAATTTGGTACGGCAGCGAGGGATTTGTCTCTACAAATACGTAATCTAAAGAATAAAAATACACATTTTGAGTCTGTGAAGTGATTTTTTTAATCGTATATTAAGTACAAACTCGTTTTACAACCACACGCACATGTTGTATTATAGTAACCGCACATACACAAAACCGGCGAGTTTTGTCTTCACTCGCGAGCGTTTTTTTCTGTGAATTTTAACGCTACTGTATTATCTGACTTGAATAAAAGTTGAGGAAGATAATAAGAAGGGTAGTTAACAACACATGAAGAACATATCTTTAATTGCCGGAATATTTATAGCGCGGCTTCGGCCGGAGCCTCGAATCAAAGACAACGTCCGCTTTTGTTGGAGTTTTCCCGGCACAAGTACAAAATAACGCAATCACACACGTGTAGAAAATTCTTCCCGCAAAACGAATATCTAGACAATTGCACTAATGGCTAAAGAAAAGAATGATGTACGAAGGTTTTTACTCAAGTGAAAATAATCTCCGAACTACGCCGCGAAAGTGGAAAGTTCGATGATATTTGTGTACAACTCGAGTGCTGTCTAACGCACTCTCGCTCGCTCGTACTCACCTCCAACCCGGAAAACGTTGGCTGGATTCGCCATTTTTAATCGGTAGTGACCGACAGTTCCTTATAAATAACTGCGATCAGTAAAGAAGAAATACAGTTAATTTCTAAACTAAAATYCCGGGAGTTATTCGTTGGTCTTAACGTCACTTTTCCCAAGGACAACCATCATTGTTCTCCCGATTACACCACGCTTCTTCTCCCTCCACTCAATACGTCATCATGTCCCCCCCTGATCGGAATCTCCGAAGTCCAACCCCTTTCACCAAACACCCCATGCGCAGACTCGGAAACTGTCGGAATAACTCGGGTATCTTTCGGTTTGTTAGGGGTAACGAAAATGATTGACAAGTTGTTGTTGTTTACGCAATGTCACATACAGGCGTTATTTACATAGTTGTTAATCACATTACCGTGTCCTGAACCAGTTAGTTTGGTTGCGAAATCAATTTAGAATGTAGCCACACAATCGAAAGCGAAACGTCGAAAGCCCGATTATCCATTCACGACATTCGAGTAATGCGCGTCCCCTCCTGATTTCGTTTGTTGACAGGTCAACTATCATTTTCATTTCGTGGATGAGGCAAGATGCCAGATACTAACCATTTCTTGCCGCTGGTTTGGCACAACTCACCTTAGAATCCCGTTGTTTAGTTCCTTGGTTGTTTATTGAAAAGATTTTCACGTTGTTTTTAAGCTGAAATACTCTTGTGTTGTCGTGTGGGGCCGGACTGCTCAGAGAGCTTCAATTTTCATCAAAACACAAAGACAGACATCTTGTACGGTGACGTCACAACAACACGCAGACTCGATGTCGTGTCGCTGCGTGGATAATATACCGGTTAAACCGGTTTGGCTTATCAAGGCGTGTACTAAATGGAGGCGTTACCAGGATTGATTGACATGTGGTCGTGACTCTCTACGTCATATTGAAGATGAATCTCGATCATTCGCGGATAGCGTTGATTGTGATGCAGTTGTCACAAACGAAAGCAACTTACCAACTTGACATGATGATTAAATTCACTTGAAATTTATTCACAAAAACATCAACATGCAATTTCGATCAATAGTTGATTCATTTAAAAAAWAAWAATAATTATCATAAAAAAACTCAATACTGATTCCAGTACTATTTCTCTTTACAGCCAAGTAGTATCTGCTTGAAAAGAAACCGAATCTCACAAATAGAAGTAATTGAAATCAAGATTAATATTTCTCCGATTTGTGTTATCGCATGGCGGTGAACAAAAGATAGAAGGCCAGTCGCTAATGGTCGCCCGTGGAACTTCATCATAAAATAGATGATAATATCCAATACTATGTTCTTTTACCATCTACAAACAATACCTATAATTGATATCCATTTTCAGGTAGCAGTATCTTTTTATAGCTGTATTGATCGGACCTTACGAGTGACCGGTCAGAATATAAAGGTTCTACTCCAATATGTTTCCAAAGCAGCAAACCTGAAAATTTTAAACTTGCAAGAATCACGCACTAGAGTATTTTTAAGGCCTAGATTTTCACATTAAAATTGTAAGCTGTATGACTAAGTTTTAGAATCGGCCAAGAAAAAGGAAACCTTTCAACCGCGTTTCGATAGGCATTTTGGTCTGTATGTACGTGATGTAAGTCCTTAAGTTTGACTGAGAGTTGGTCCCACGACGACAACAAAAAAAACTGCAATAAGACACCGGTTCCGGATGTGGGAAATCACGTTGAATGGAGAGCAGAGAGGAAACAGAACTGACGGAAAAGAATAAGGTATTTTGATGATGATCTTGGTGATTGTCAAGATCAGTTTTATCCGCGGTACATGCGTGGTTCGCATGGAGTCCCGAGTGGATCAAATGGACGAAGGGGGGATTATTTCTGATTATTTATTCAGTTCGATGCGTTGAAACGTGACACATACAAATATTTATTAGCGATAACTTTTATTAACGATTACTTTCTACTAAATGAATACGCTGCCTACTGAAATTCATGTACTATTTATACTGAGTGGGCTTTAATTTCAGGTCATAGGCCGATAGATAATCGTTATTATATTCGTAGAGGTCATATTTGATACTACACTATAATAAGAGTGACTACTGGTATAGACTGTACTAAATCTATAGCACAAGTAAAAAAAGTGAATTCTACAGGTGTAGTAGTGTTGATGTACCTGATAGTGGTGGTGTTGGTTGTGTGCGGTAGTGATCTTGATGTTAGTCAAATGCTGAATGACAGAATAGTGAAGGTTCTTTGCATAGTATTAGTAATGGGAGATGAATCAAGATAATAGTATTGCCAAGTAACAAGTGCAGCTCAGTCATGACGTTTCTGTGCCAACGAGGGCAGCAAACCTTAAAAGTGTCATAAAAAAGCTCCTAAAGTTCTGAGTTGCATAGTGAAATCCCTTTCAATGACACAAACACAAACGAGGCGTAATTTATCCCATCCAACATTTACTATTGCAAGTTTGGCAACTAACTGTTCAAGACCTCGAATTACCGGCCTCTTGACTAAGACCCCTTGCACTAAAGCTAGTCCTTTGAAATCTTGGATCACAGAGGAACGCTCCCCAGTGTCGTAGTAACAGCTGTTTATCTTATGAGCAATGCTCCCAGAAAATCCTCTGACTACAGACGACACTGGAATATTTACAATACATTAGTGAAGATATTATTTTAGGCGACGAGAAAGTAGTCATAGTAAATTGGTGTCGCGTTTGTTACAAAAAAAAAAAAAAATATATATATATATATATATATATATATATACATATATTTACTAATAATATATTGACCCCCCCGTTTCATCGTCATCGTCAGGTGTACACCACTCACTATCGAGACAGCCCCTTCAAAATTTTTTGAACACGGAAGGTCAGTGTCAAGTCACTTATTAATTATTCACAACCACAATGTTTGCAGCTTATAGTAAAGCCATCCATCTTATTCCATTTTACCATTAAATCTTAAATCTCTTCATCATAATACATCGTGATTAAAAAATGTCGTAACATGGAACTAAAAGTTGCTAATGATTTTGTGACATTTTTGCTATTTTTAGCCTTTTAAAAAGACTGCATCAGAGCAGTGCAATGGTTCGTGCAAGACCATATTTGCATAATTGAAATCACTGCATCAATATATTGTATGATACGCGTGGACAGCACGTGATCACTGCGTGATTTGATATGCACACCAGATGGCTCAATACGTGCTATTTCCCATAAAACACTAATAAGGTGTATGTCGTTTGAAGCGACCTGTTTCCTCGGTAAATCGAATACTACCGAATACTGCGCGAGAAAATCAAACCCTGAGCAAATGGACACAAACAACCATTACAGCGCATGCTCGGCCGTACCGGGTGGATCACATGACCGAGATGTTTGTCGATTATTTATATCAAATGACGGCTTGCAGCTGCTTATGGTTGCTACCGGTAACGGCGTTCAGTGCCAGCCAGCCAGTAAGATCCTGTACGCGCGTTTCTATTATTATTTACTGACTTAGACAGACTGATAGTCGGTTGCGCGTCCCTGTATGCACAYTATAACTCTCATACTAAATTCTTTAGGTACTAAAGGAAATATTAATAATTACTTCCAAGAAGATGACCTCATGGAAACCAAGGGACAAGCTACGGCATATTAAAATCTAGACGCTTTTCCGCTTTGAATTGACCTCACATCTCGAATCATTAACTTGAGCTAACTCAGAGGGTGGCGTTGCGTGAATTCCCAGCAAAGCCTCTGTAGTACTGAAAAACCTCTTATATGCGACCGGCCACATCGGAGTGGTCGGGTTAGGCAAAGATGTTCGGAGTGATTTGCCTGACCATGGGATCTTTCTTCCCGGCTGGAGAATAGTATGTGTGCTTAGAACTAGTTTCGATGAAATATCATCAGAAAATCAAATATTTTTTTGATCAGAATGAGCAACCAATCCAAATGAGCGAGTACCAAACGCATGTGCCTGGTCAAATAACGGCGTTGTCATTGTTATTTTAGGCTTTACAAACTAGGACAAAGAGAGACGACGCTGATGTTGAAGTCAGCTCTAGTTGGCAAACAGGAAACGGCTTTCTGTCATGCAGATTTTTAAGAACAACAAAGCCCTATGGTAAATATCATTTTTTATCAATATGAAATTTTACTTTATGATAGTAAGACATAATTAATCTTTCGACATATAACATAGGAAGCCCGGGGGGGGGGGGGGTGGGGGTACTGCCCTATATTCGCTATACGTGTACGTGCCGCCAAACAGGGTATGGTTTTCAGCGATTTTGCTCTGGAACAGGGTCAGGGGGAGACTAGGGTTCAGAGGGCTTAGCGGTACATCCCTACCCTAAACGGGCAAGAGTACCCCCCCCCCNATAACATAGGAAGCCCGGGGGGGGGGGGGGGGGGGGGACGGCCCTAATTTCCTCCATCTGAATTTCTCAACTAAACATGTTGCAATGTTCAGGGCACCCCCCTTCCCCTTCCCCTTTGCACTTGCCATTTTTTATGTCCCCCCCCCCCCCCCCCCCGGATAGGAAGTTAGCGGTCGTTTCATTTTCCCGGGTTTCCTGGCAATGAAAGAATTCAGGAATTGTTGTGATCATAACACTTTATACGCCGAATCGAAAGATGACGACCAATTAGAATAGCTATTGTTCTGGACTGACTAGCCTCTCATACATGTGAAAACGTTTTTATGATTGTACACGAACGCGAAGCTATGTCAGTCCAGAACAATAGTTATTCAAATTGATCGCCATATTTCAATTCCGTGTCAGCAGTAAAGCGAAAGGAATTCATAAAAACTTTGAGTAAGATAGCACTGCTTAGCTTAGATAACCTTTGCATGTTTGTATGAATGGTTATCAGTAATAAGCAGGATCGTGTATGAAGTACGTTTCCTTAAAACACATGTTCTCGCTAAGAGTCCTATGTCTACCTTAGGAGAAAGGGGGGGGGGGGGGGGGGGRGGAGGAAGGAATGAAACACGGTACCACATTAGTTATCATTTACAAGATAACTTTCGTAAGGGAAGTTAAGTTTTTTACTGGGGGGAGGGCTGGGGGCTTCGAAATCATTTTTTTACAAACGGTTGTAGCCATCTCTCTTTTAATTCACGACCCCCTTATTAACTCAACAAGGAACTAGCTCTCGTCAAAATAAAAAACTTTAACCTCCACAAAAAAACTCTTTCCTCTTAAGCCCCAGCCAAGCCGTCTATAAGAGGGATAAAAGGGAGACGACTGAAAACCCCTGGGGGAGGGGTACGGACAAACGCTGACAGCTTTGACTGGTAAAAAAATKTGGTACCGTGTTCCAAAGACTTCATTTTTTTCTCTATCTGATAGTTAAATATCTTATAATTATAAATATAGACTAAATAATTAAAACTTGGGCAAATCATCACGAGTCATACKCTATGTCTTCGTCGATTTCACTATCGTCGTCTTTGCGGGATTCCCGAGGATCTTTAGATAAAGATCCCGTGGTATAATGTTCAGTATCGCTATCACTAAGCTCATCTTCACTCTCTGCGTCAATGATCTTTCCATCCTTGGTCACCAGGCTTCTTACAAGTTGCTCGTCCACGCCTGCGCTTCTTAGGATGTCTTCGTATTTTCTTTCCGCGCATCGTTTTGCGTTCAGCTGAGATTGACGTTCGAACAACAGCGGTCTCTTCTCTACACGACCTTGAATCTCCTCCAGTTCTTGCTGGTACTCTTCTCTGCGAGCCTTGTCGGCTTCCCTGGAACAACAGATAAATCTTGTTCAGAAACTAACTAATCTGGTAGGCTCAACATGGCAGCCGCAACAATAACATTACCAACAACGAAAGGGGAGCAGCAGCAACAACCAACAACAAACATGGTAGCATCAACGGACCAACGACGGCAACAGTCCACCACAACCAGCAACAACACCACCACCATCGACAAGAACGACAGTAACAGTTAACGTACCTGAAGCTCTTGATCTTCACATCAGAAGTCTTCCTAAGCTGCCAGCTGTTATCATTAGCCATTGCTTTTCGAGATACCACTGAACGAAGTTGCTTGAGTCTTTGTTCTTTTCTTCGTTTTTCTTTGAGCTCTTCKGTTTCTTTTGCGCGTTTTTCCTCAAGGCTCTGACGAATCTTGCTGTCTCGTAGGCGAGCTGATTCTGTGGTGCTAGTAAAACGAAGACAAAACACAACGCCAGTTTGAGAAACTTATTCTGATAACAATTACAATTTTCATATGATATATTTCTTACTTACCCGTAAGGAAGGATGTCTGATGAATAAGAGAACGAAGCGCTTGCTGGTCGCTCCCTACTGCTTGCTCTACCACTTGAAGGTGTTTCTCTACTCAAAGATCTGGCACTACTAGGTCTTTCTCTACTGCCTGATCTTCTTCTTGACCACAGGCGGCCATCCGCAGAACTCCTCTCTAGAGTACGTGATTTGCGCATGCTCGATAAGGCTGTCGTACGGAGGTTGAAGGGCTCTACCACAGTTGGTTCCCTTTCTTTCTTCTTCTTTCTCAATTCTTTGTCAAACTGAAATTGTAGATTATCGAAGTCAGGTATTTCTTGGTTGATTTGTGGTCTGAAGGTGTGATCTTTGGTCATGAACGCTTTCTTTTCCTTCTCTTTCATAGCCTTGTTGCGCAACTTGCCGATCGTGTACTTTCTGCCACGCCCTTCCATGTTCATTGGAAGACGAGAGTTGGCAAGAGTTTCTTCAGCTCGCATTCTGACCTTAATGGTTCGATACTCATCCTGTTCTGCCAGTTTATCTGCCAAGGTTAAGTCAAACAAGTGAGCTGGAAAGGGATTTGCTTTGAAGATCTTTTTCTCTTTTTTCGGAGTCAAGTCCGATAGGCTGCTCAGAGATTTCGATCTTGTTAAAGAACGCTTTTGTTCCTCTCTTTTAACGAAACTAAACGGCTTCTCGGTCGACTTCAAAAGTGCTTTACTTGTTTCCTTCACGTACTGTCTTCGAATTTCATTCTGTCTTGTGATCTCGTCGTATAATGGTAAGAAAGTCGTAGCGGGAACAGGCTGGGAGCGGAATTTTTTCTGCAATTCCGACTCCTCCTTTTCCTTTTTCAGTTTTAATTCTTCTTCCAAAAGTCTCTGAGATCTGGTTTTCTTTTCTTTTGATTTCCTGGCTTCTCTGATTGTCATGGTGAATGGTTTGGGTATTGTTATACAGGGTGACCAGGTGTCGAGTGGTTCGGAGGCTTTAGGAGGACTGGATGGATCTCTGGGGTAGTCATATACTGAGAAATCCTGCCATAAGCTTTCCACGGTATCCAGTGCACTTGATCTATTGGGAAGCATTTCTTTGTATAGCACCCGTCCATCCCTGCTCTGGGGTCGTTTCTTAGGGAGGTCTAGTTCTTCTTCTGACCAACTGTCATTGTCACTAAGGTCACTATGGGATCGTCTTCGGTYTTGTCTGTCATCGTCTGGTGAACCTTGTTGAAAAAAAAAATCATTTTAAATTAAGAAACCCCAACATACCATAACAATCAGTTGGGTAGTAAGACCACAAGATCATTTTTGAACGAAATGATTGTCAAGGAACGATCATGTTATACAAGAAATCACTTCAGCGAACGAGAATCCTTTAACAGAATTTTTACCACTCTAGTTATTTCCATAGTAATAGGAATCAATGACCTCATATGTCAGTCTCGATAACCTCTGCTTCCTTCGTTCCCTATTCTATGTATGTATGTAGATTCAGCATTAGAAACAGGGGAAACCACTTAAGTTAATGTTAACTACATACCCACCAATGGGTGAATGAAGAATACCACACTTGATGGAATGGTATTTCAAATATGAATATTATATCATAAACGTTGCTATGAACTCCATGATTTTTAATTTTGGAAAATCAGGAATAGCATAGATTGATGGATTGGACTGTAGTTTGGTTAACTGGATCTTGAATCGCAAAAACAAAATTATCAAAGTTTCAGCTTTTAAGAGGATACTGATAATCTTAATGTATAGTTAAAACATGTCCTTACTTTAAAATTCGATTTATGCCTCTAAATTCTGAATTTTGAGAGATTGTTTATTTTGGAAAATTTGGAACCGTACATGGTTGGACTGGACTGGACTTCGATTTGCTGGATTTCGGATCGCAAATTTTTTTTTACACCTAATTTACAGCTTTCATGCTATGATTTTCATTTTAATATTCCTAAATAGCAATTTTATGCTGAAATTTTTGAAACAAATTATAATTGGAAAACATCAACAGCCTCTTGGTTAGCTTAGTTGGTAAGAGTGTCCGTCTGTTGTGTGGAAGGTTGATGTTCAAGTCTGACCAACACTCAGGGTCTTAAAATAACTGAGAAGTTGCTGCCTTCATAATAACATCTGCAAATGGTTAGACCTTCAAGTCTTCTCAAATAAGTACTTAAAACTGTAGGCCCTGTCAATCCTCCTTATAACCCACTATATATTTTAAAGGTGGGCTTAAAAGACCTAAAGATGCTGGTGATTACCAACTTCAGTGCTAATAAATACTACAGGGCCTACAGTAATTGGCAAAAGCTGTTATGGTACATGTGCTGTGTCCCTGTGCTCAGGGAAAAAGTTAATAAAATAAAATAACTATGTTTATTGTGATTTTGAGAAACCAATACTGGTTTGTATTGGTGTAAGAGTTAATAAATAAATTGGGTTAATAATAGTTAATACGATCCCAKGCTCCTAAGTTGCTTTCAAACTTATTTTTTATTCCTCTTTTTACTAATTGTATTTATTCCTGATGAACGTAACAAAGCTTTCAGTTATCGAAATCCATTCCTGTGAAGTAGTTGGGTTATAAAAATATATAAAAAAAAACCTTCTGGCTCACTGGAACATCCACTGATAATGTTCTTGGATTATAAATTGTTCTCATAATATTACACGTGCCCTCAAAGCTTCACTTCTTGGCTGTCTTTTGTTTTTAGAACCATTTCTCATCTTCAAACATTATCAGCTGATATGCCAGCCACTAGAATGGGTTTATTTACTTTATCATATTTTAAGTGTAAGGATTTGACCAACATTTTGTATAATAGATTGAATTCCCACTCCTGGTCAGGGATTTCATCTAATTGGAGCAAACATCGTATGAGTGATTTACCAAACGAGCTATCAAGGCAGCTATTGAATAAAATTAACATGGGGATAGGGGGTGGTGGGGAGGGTATGGCTCCAGCCTCCTTTTATGATGGATTCTTTTCTCTTTTCTAAAATTGACTTTCCTTAGGGGGAGGGGAGCTAAGATTATTACTCTAACTCAACTACAGGTGCCTTACAGTAAAAGACAAGCAACCACAAAGCTTGCCCTTTTGATTCTTAAAAATTTATATGGCAAGACTTACCTTGGTTTTCTTTATCCTCTTCTTGTTGCCTGGTAGACATATCTCGTACAAGGTCTGTAGCAGGTAATAAATCACTCTCAAGTAATTCTTGATATCCTACTTCATAAGGATCGTAATCATCTCGAATATATTTTTCAGTAGCAAACTTTTTCATCTGCTCTCCGTCCTCCATGCTGATACGGGTGTTTTCGTCTAAATCAAAACCTGAACTCTGCTTTCCGAGCTCTGAATAATACGCCTTTTCTACTGTCTTTAAAGTCTTCTTATGTTCCTTCTTTAACGCTAATAAATGTCGATAAAAATCTTTTTCATCCATGCCTTGGAGTTCTTTCAAAGATTCCATCATGGCCTTCGGAGTGTGGACTTTAGTTCCTCGACTACGCGAAGACGTTGGCCTTTCTTCGCCATCTGAATGCTCCAAAGAAATACCTCGGTCCGTTCTTTCATTTTCAGTGGCTGGTAGTTTAGTTTTTGGTTTTCTGGGAGCAGTATAGCAGAGGTTTTTTACTACCGTTATTCCATGACTGGTCGCCATGTCGACCTCAAAACACTCTGAGGATTCGAAGCTTGTATGATGTCAAACCGAGGCTGGCCGTATCGATACCTTGGAGACTAGGGATGACAACAAAACAATTTTTTTCCTATTTTTGTTCTTATTTTGTACAAAAATAAAACTAAATGAATATTGAAATAACATAGAACAAAAATTAATGAATGAGAGGAAGAATGAATAAAAAGCAAAAACGAAAAAAAGCAGAAAATGCCACTGAATTCGAAGATTTTTTCAAAAAATCAATCTACTGTACACTATTTTTTCAATTCCTAATTGTTGTTTTTGTTTGCTTGTTGCTTTTTCCTATTAATCTAGAACTCTTACATTTTGTTTATCAATGAAAAAATTAGTTGAAAAATTTCGGAAAAACTCCAAATTTTTAACATTTCCACTTAGACTAGTTCCCAGGTCATCTGCTACATCACGGTCAACATTTAGACCAGGTTGACACTTGATGAACTCTTCGCACGAAACAAAATGTCAGTAGCTGGTTTGTATATTTTTGGTCTGCTCGATGGAGCTGCACTCCTCTTTCTCACGGTATTTTTTGTATCCTTTTAACCTTATATACGTGTTAAAAAATCGTTTACATTCATTAGCTTACATACTACGAACACCACTTAGATATATATTAAAGTCACTATTTAGAATTCTAGACGTAATTTATATCCAATTTATTAATTTAGATATATTTAGATATCTTCGATAAGAAGATTAATTAATAGTTGAAAAGGCACATAACTTGTCAGTATTTCTCAAATGCTTTCTTAAGCATTTCTGTTGACAACATTTGTTGTTTTGTACCATTATTTTTTTACCAGCTTGCTTTAGTATTGTTACAAGATGAAATTCTATTTTTAGGTTATATTTTCTCAACTTGCCGCTTTAGATAATTAATCTATCTGACTTAGAATGCGATTATATCAATGCAAGGACGTGCTGCGATCGTTTGAACATTGTAAGTAAATTCTCTTAGAATAATCTTTTTTAGACATAATATATATGTATCAATGACTATCCACACTATGACAACAATAATTGTTCACCTATTAGAAAAGGGTGTTGGTCAAAAGAATTCCCTCTCTAGAGCTTCAGAATGGAATTATTTCTTTGATGTAATATTTTTAAATTGTCTTGACTCCCTGCAGGTACCTAGGGGTTTGGTGCAAACCTGGGACTACTATGCACCAACACCAAATTCCTATTCGTACCAAAAACTTTACATACAACAATGAGAAATTTTTTCAAATTAGCCAGTGGAGTTAAGGGAGAAGAGAAGGGTCGGGGGACAATGAAAAATTCTTGCCCTTGGTGCATTTAAATTCTGGTATCAATTTTAATTTTGCTTTTTGATGTTTTGTTTCTTTTGCAGTGGGTTATCCCAGAACTTATTGCACATGGCCTCATAACCATGTTGTTACTAGGTTATTTTCAGTGGATATTCTTTCTCTTGAATCTCCCACTTATGGTTTGGAACTTTTACAGGTATTTTACCTTTTTATATTATCCCCATGCAGTACTATCGTCGTGTACGGGTTAATGAAGTATGTTATAGGTTTCCGAACACATGAGTGGGACTTTTGTTCTCTTCACAGACACCAAGAATCGAACTCGGCACCTTCAGCTCCAAAGATCTACTACAATGCCAAACCCCACCCTAACTCTAACCACTAGACCACGAAGCGAATTTGCTTGGGTGGTCTCATTTTTTTAGTCATATTTAAACGATGTATCATCAGCGCGTGCACATAAATATTTATTATAGTTTAATTTATGCTATCGTAGGGTATGACTACTAGAAATTTGAATTTGAATAGAATTTCCCTGACAATTCCCATACACTACGATATAACTCCCCTTGCTTTGCCACTGAATACTGTGAGAAGACTAGATAGCACCAGCCAGGGTTCAAAACTTCAAACTTGATTCATTCCTTTATCTAGGTCAACTAACAACTATTTAGGCCATCACACCTGCCGTGTCTTACAGCTCATTAAGCAGAGGTAGAAATGATATCTGCATCACCAAATGTTTTTTGGTCTTAGTATACTTCATTTTTGCAAGTTACCTATTTATGGTCACATTGGTGGTATATAACAAAAGATCTCTTATAAGCTTCCTTTGTTAAGACAGTCGTCACATGAATTTGTCATACGACTCTTGTGGGATTAAAGCTTGCAAAGGACAGGCAATATATCCTGTAGACCTTATTTTGATGGATGACTTGTTTATTTTGAAGGTTTATTAACAAGCCACCAGGGAATCTTGGCCTTTATGATCCTGCAGAAATCCATAACAGGAGTCAACTAAAGGGTTTCTTGAAGGAATCGATGATAAAGCTGGCATTTCACTTGATCTTCTTCTTTCTATATTTATACAGGTACAAAAAAAAAAAACAAAACAAAAAAACAAAACAAACAAACAAAAACAAACAAACAAACAAAAAAAAAACAACAAAAAAACAAAACAACTAAACCTGCTTGTACAAATTTAAGTTCTTGTAGTGAGTGTAGAGATATAAATAGTTCTCAAACAATCAGAGCACTTTCACCATGTTCAGCTATGTGATAAAGTTGTATATGAAGTGGTCTTAAGTAAACTTTTACAATGAGTACAAGACATTAATTTTTACCTTTTTTGTATTCATAGTATGATATCAGCACTGCTGGCAGACAGTGATGAAGAGAAAGCGGCAACTGAGCTGTAGGACAGTGGCTTAATCTCTATCTTCCATTTTCTTTGCAACTATCCTTGGAGTGCATATAACATCATAGCCACCATATATACGATGACGATGAATATATTCATCGTATACAAAGTCAACCATTTTGGTTGACTTTGACAGAAGTTAAGGTCTAGTCTTTCGTCATGTAAACCAACATGACAACCACGTGTTTTGTCCTTTTATTCTCATGGGAAGGGACGCACGTTGCCAATTTGATGCTAAAAATAGACCATCCCCATTTGCTTGTGTGCCTCCAGTCAAGGTTGAACTTGACAAAATATAGTAAATTTCTCAAAACATCGAGTCCTACCTTAACTTGGAGCCAATGTTTCATGTTCATTCATGTGAACTCAAATCCAGAGCTTAAAATAACAGCCAATAAGTCATCATTATTGGCCATTATAATTGGCCATTATTTTTAAGCCCTGGGAATGGTCTATTGATAGGTTAAGACATAATTTTCAAATAAGTAAATAAGTAAATAAAGAAAAGTATAGGATTAATACTAGTCTTTTATAATACCTGTGTCTACATACATTGTATTTTCTACATCCTATTTCTTACTTTTACATAAATCATTTTTTCTTTGTTCCTCTAATATTTTCAAATATGTACCTAGTGGATTAAATTCTATAATAACCTATAAAAGTGTTACAGTCGAAATATCTTACTTTTTGTTGTTTTTGTTTTGTTTAGATTGTTGGAATATTTTTTAAATCCTGTATTCCTATAATAAAATTGCGTTTCTGTTTTCCAAGACCCAGACCCATAATATTAAAAGTTATTCTAGAGCTTGTTATTAAACTTGTCATAACCTACGTGGGATTTTTGCTGCAATAAAGTAGATTTTGATGGATGGCAATCAATTTTCATGATGACATAGGGGTTTGAAAAWTTTTTTTTCAAGGTCACCTGTTTGGGGAAACGCCTTGATTAGTCCACCAAAAACTATTTTGCTGCAAGAAGTTGTCTCATTGATTCTCCATATGGTGCTAAGAACAAGACTAGAGTAAAAATTGCTCTAAAAAATGAAAAAAGAGAAGACAGAGGATAATGATCTTAGGCTAACAATACGCCTCTGCCTTCTGTAAAATAATCTCCATCCCAATGGTAGATTAATTCTAGTCATTAAGAGTAATACAATGATTATTACAATAATAAATGAGATTCCATAGGAGTTTGACAAGGGGTGCTGAAAAAAAAAAGATTAATAAAAAAATGTTATTGTAACAGATGATTAATGTTTGAACAAAATCAAATTAAACAAAACAAATGACTAAACAGCTGTGCCCTGACTGTATTTAGCCCAGAGGTTGATTAAGAGTGTTGGGTTTCATTTGAAACTAGTTACTTTCTCCTACACCAGTGGCTGCAGAGGCAATGAACATGGCACACCTATGTGTGCAGATGGGTGAATGGTTAAAAAATGAAGATTGGGAAGATTAGAAGATGAAAACCAAGAAAGTTTACTGAGAAGTAATAGGAGTTTGGGAGTTAGTGCCCTCCATCTCTGCAGTCCTTTGTTAGCATTCTAACTTAAGTCACTGATGTGGAATGTTGGTAGAACAAAGGTGCAAAAACATTACTGCAGTTTTCAATATTCTGTGAAGTCAGACATTTCAACAGCTTGTTGTGAAATTGGTTTTACTGCCGCCAGTCAAAAATATAAAAGGTATTTACTGATTATCTTTGATTGAAAGCAATGAAAAACTAGATTTCATTGTGGAGCTAGCAATTACCGATTTTGCAGAATATCGAAAGCCGCAGTAAGCGCAGCCAACTTACTATTGTTTTTATTTTCTTCTTCTCAGCAATACTCTTCAGTTTAGTTTTCTTCCATTTGACCATATATTTAAAAAGACTATTGTATACTGGGTGAAAAGACTTCAATACCTCCTGTTGAGCACAATTAAAGTATTTTCATCAAGATATACAGGTACAGTAATAAATCAAAAGTATATCAGAACCCAGAGGAAAACCTTAAAGCACAAAAGTGAACCAAGCAAAAAAAAAAGGGAGGAATCAGCTGATGTCAAGGATAAAACTCTCAAACACAGCAGCCAATAAGTTTAATTTGTTCTTGGCATTAGAAAAACACTGTATTTACAGGTTAGTGGTAGGAGAAGTGGTAGGGGTGATCATTAGTGTCATTAATATTTCCTGTGTGAGTTTTTTAGGGGTTCAGATTAGACCTTAAATATTACTTTGGTGTAACGTTTTCTCATTCCGTCATACTGTTAGTATACTGGTCAGGGGAAGACTAATATTGTAAGCAGGATGCCTGTCGTTATATGGGGTCCGCCAAGAGTATTCATTTATTTGTTTAATGGATGGCGTATGAGAAGAGTTATGAATATGGATACGACTCAAACAAAGAATCTTATTCTCAGAGAATGACACATGGTCTGTAATGGAAAAACATTGTATGAAAATGAAAAAGGTCTTTGCTTAAACTTTATGTATGGACTGAAAAAGAAAGAAATTGAGCATACCTGGAGTTTACTGCTTTGAGGATTAGACCTGGCAAAGCAGTTGCTTTGGTCCTTTTGTACATCCTTAGTATTTTTCCACAAGGATATCACATATACATATGGTATCTGGTTCACAGAAAACAACAATTGAGCAAAATTAGTTCAGTCATAGTTGTGTTTCTTAATAATTCTGAATATCAAAAATTGCAGTAAAACAGAAAAACACAGTAAAATGCCCTTCCCTTCAACACTTACCTCCCTTGTTGTGGATGTATATGAAAATATGCTCTCTCCATAATGGTTCAGTGACTGGTTCATCTGAATGTGTTTAAGGCCATTAGAGGTTGAACTAGAAAGTTGATGAGCTAAGGACAGGATCTCCATGTTATCTGGATACAATGAATTCCTTGGGACACTATCAAAATCTATTGTAAAAAAAAAAACATAGATCAATATAATAGGCCATGATAGTTTCTTTGAGGTAAGTCTCCAAACCTCTATTCATATATTACAAGTTGACTGACATCTTTTTATTTCATGGGTTAAATGCCTTCACTTTAACGGAGTTGCTTCAGTTAAGTTAGTCATTATTACTGTGGGAGCTCTTGCCTCACCGAATGCAACCCAGGTTTGATTCATGGACTCGTGTGTCATATGCAAGTAGAGTTTATTGGTTCTCTCATGTGCCTAAAGGTTTTTTTTCACCAGTCCTCCCTCAACAAAAATAAACTTCTTAAAGGGCCACAGGTTTTTATTAGTTATTTGCTATTATTGCTACCCTCATGATACGAGGGGATTTATTTATTTCCTTTACCTCTGAAAGGGACTAATATGTTCTCTTCACCAGRATGAAATGAAATAAAGACATCAAAATCGAGCAAGCTTGTAAGTTCTGTTAATACTCGGCATTCAGGCTCTGAGGAAGAGAAGTTGCATTTTTTTTTTGATTTAAAAAGGAAAGTTAGCAAATTTTAATTATATTTGAAATTCACTATTTGGAAGAGTCCTATATTTTCTCTTGTTATGTGCAGAGGGCATGGGTGCATTCTTTCATTTCCATCCCCCTCCACCCCTTCTCCCCTGTCTATCAATAGGAAAAAGAATTTTAAAYGAGGTCTTAATAAAAAAAACTATTCACAAGGTTAAAAAATCATAAATGAAAATAAATAAAAAGAGAATTAGAATAAACAGAAAATCACTTAACAAAAATCAGTAATAAATGAATTATGAATTCAAACTTATGGAAATTAAGGACACGTAAAACAGGTTTACATTTACTATACCACCTACAAGGCCAATAAGGATTATAGATTGCCAAATTAAACGCACTTATGATCAAATTAGTCTGAGGCAAACACGAATTAGTCAATAAAGGTTAAAATTACCATACCTACTAACATCTGGCGTGTAACAGACGACGTGGAGCCATATTGATGCAAGTTAAGATCAGCGCCACTTCCAGTTTTTATCCAACAATAATTTTTAGTCTTTTCTATGACTGACCGTCCATCAGGGTTAAATATACCAATTAAATATAAATCTATATTTTCCATGACAAAACGCGTAAAATTAAAACCTGGTGATCCAAATGGTTCTTGTATTCCCGAGGTTAAGTTTTTTAGTAAATATAGCATGCTCTCTACAGGTAAATATTCAGAAGAATGTTCGCCAAAAGACAATAAAATTCGAACTTTTCTCGTAGAAGTCTTTGATTCGGATAAATTCCCAAAATGGAGGACGTACTGAGAAAGCCCCCATCGCGAACGGAATCGCATCTCTGCGTCCAGAATGTTGGGAAATTGAGAGACTAGTTCGTAAATGCACTGATTGAGCTGAGATAAATTATGATAAAAGTCATAGTTTGGGAGATAAATTTCTTTAGACGGCGTCTGGTTGAAAACACCAAAGCCAGTGCCTTTGATCTGGTAGTTTTTTGGTAAGAACGCCAAGAAAACCATCCATAAAAGGACATCAAATAAAATTCTATATCCAGGACAATCCATGTCCTATGAATAAAGCTTGCATTCTAGGATTTCTTTGTGGATACAGGGATCATGTGGACAATCTCCTTCTCGTCCGCCATCTTGATTCGAACACTCACGGCTAAGAGAATGGGACTAGTTAATGCGTTGTACCTGGGTTACCTGGGTTACCTGGGAGATACGAAGAAAGAAAGACAGAAAGAAAGAGGAAAGAAAAAAAGAAAGAAAGAAAGAAAGAAAAAAAGGAAAATTCAGTAGTAATCTTTAAAAAAATTCTTCTAGCCGCTAGCATGCCGTTTAGAATATAGTCCGATCAAGGTTCCGGATACACACAGTAGCTAATCTGTTTCGGTTCTGGCGACCCATATTCTCAGTTCATATCCGTTGGCATTTCGGATGCTTTTGGTCAACAAAAAGAAAAATAAGATTTCTAAATGAAAAAGAAAAGAAAAATGAACGTACTAACTAACCAGTGAGTAGCAAAAGGAAATCAATGTGCTCCAAAGGGAAAAAATATCTTCATCTTCATAGCATTCAGGAAATAATATTAATCCTGCTTCAACACTGACGGACCTTCACACTTTCATCCCTTTGTTCTAGTGTGTTGATTGATGGGTAGCCTGTGATTGTGAATGCCCCGCCCGCCTACGAGGAACTGGGCCGATTGCTGGAAAAAAAGATGGCGGCTGGCGGCTATTTTGAGTCGTCTGAAAATTCACTAAAACAGCTGTAAGTAAAACGACTTATTTCCTCAAAATAGCCAAACAACATGACAAAACACCATACTCTTCCGAAAACTCTTGAAAATGCTGGAGAATTTCGTCTGTTCATTTATGAATTGACTGAGTCCAAGATGTTTGGCGGCGCCATCTTGGTCGTCATTCTCCTCAATACTGTTATTCTTGTTACCCAAACAGACGAAGCCATTTCTGTTAAAGCAGGTTAGTCAGAGAGCTTCAATACCGAGAAATTCAAAGCTTTTATATGACAGCTACTTCATTATGAAAAAATCTTTGAAATTTCCGATTATTTAGGATGGTATTTTTCCTCGTTGGACAACGTTTTTCTTGCCATCTACTTCGTTGAAATTGTTCTCAAACTTTACGCCTTACGAAGTGCATTCTTCAGCAGTGGTTGGAATATAATGGGTAAAGAAAATCTGTTGTACGACATCTTTGCACCTTTATGTCTAATTCACGAAAAATGTTTGCAAAATCCAGAACTAAGTTTTTTCCTTTTCTAGATGGTTTGATCGTCCTCTTTACAACTATCGACTTTCTTCTGCCCTTGATCGTACAGAATGTCAGTTCGTTCGATGTAGCAGCTATATTCAGGCTGCTTCGTATGTTCAGAGCTATCAGAGCTTTACGAGCATTAAGAGTACTAAGGACTATAAGGTAAAAAGTTCTGTAGTCTAATTCATACCCACAAGGGCAGGACCAGTTCGGGATCATGGGCTAGCCAAACCCTTTGCCGCTCTTTCACTTTTTTTTTTCAATTCAAAGGAGGGTCACTATTAATTTCAAACACAGCAAAATGATCAAGGAAAGCTTGAAAAAATGTTGGTGAGGGAACAAGAAAAAAAAAATGTAATCATAATGGGACGGTCAGAGAATTTTTTACCTCGGTTTCCATCCCCACGTCTTCCCTTACTCCTTCTGCTTAGTGAGAATAAAAAGAAATGGCAGGAATGGGGATTTTGCCTCCAATTGAATAACTGGTCTGATTTTTTTTATCCCTCCTCCTTCTTTTAGGTTCTTAAAGAATCTACAAGTGATAATGACAACAGTCCTCAAGTCATTTCGCGCCCTCAGTACGATTGTTATGTTGCAGAGCCTTTTCCTTTGTATCCTTTATTATCAAAAACTTGATCACAGAAATCTCAATCTCTATAAAAATGTAATCCATTCAAGGCTGTTCGAGTATAGAATTTATATAGGTTTGATAACCTACTTAGTGCGGGCAAATCCAGAACGATTTTAAGTGGGGTGACTGTTATACCTAGTGTTTTTCAACTCCAAAGGGGGGCTGACTAGCAACCCAATCCACCTCCTGGATCCGCCCTTACTATTTCCAACTTACCTATAAAGATAATTTGTTTTCTCTCTCTGGCTTGTGTCACCTTGATAATATTCCTTAGCTGCTATAAAAGATATGTTTGCTGTGATTGGTCGTGGACTATTCTACGAGATTTCGCCCAGTAGATTTGGTAACCTTGGGAAAGCATTCTTTACTCTGTTCCAGCTCATCACGCTGGATGACTGGTTCTACATGTACAGTGATGTCGTAAAGATAGATCCTGGTAATTTATAAAATCCTTTTTCACTTTTTCAAGTTTTTTATTCCCTCTCTTTATAATTTGTCTGATGTGTTATGCGCAAGTTTAGGAAGTGGCGGATCCAGGACTTTAAGAGGGGGGGGGGGGGGGGTGTTTATTTATTTTAAAAAATATAAAAAATCCAAGGTACCAGCCGGTGGGGGGGGTTCATTTGCACCCAATGAACCCCCCCTAAATCCGCCACAGTTAGGGATCGTTTAGATGTAGAATTCTTGAGGTGCAACCACATGACGATGAAACAGTCCCCATTTTGGTTGATCTAACAAAAAAGCTGAGGAATGGCGGTTTTGTTATCGTCAACCATCCACCAACATGGCAGCTATGACGAAACATGGACCCCAGAAATATTTGATTTAAATTTTTTTTTGTATTTTTAAATGTTCATCCAAATTTATCTGATTCCATTCACAGGATATGGATACATTATTCTATACCTCATTATCTACATTGTCCTGGAAAATTTCATTTTTATGAAGTAAGTATTTTTAGGAAGAGAAAACAAAAACTAGGGGAGTCCATCTCGATTTCTATCAAGCTTCCATCAGATTGCTAGTCTCCCTCGCATCCGTTTTTAGTGTCGGTCGTCACGACCGACACTAAAAACGGATGCGAGGGAGACTATCAGATTGCTAGCTGGAGATGATCATATAGCTCCCGCTATGTAGGTTAAAAATAAAGGTTAGTGTGTGTAGCGAGAGAAGATAGAAGTGACTCTGTGCTTCAGTTTATTTGTAGCTGTACTAGTGGATAACTTTCAACGAACCCTAGCAGCTTTGGAAGAGAAAGGTCACAAAAAGAGTGGAGTTCAAATAAGAAGCGTCTTTGCTGGGGTGAGTTAGCCTGGTTTTCACTAGCAAGAGAATCGGAAGGTTCTCTGTATTTTGTTTTAGCGCGCGCTAATATTGAATGTAGTCGCATCAAAACATTTTCTGGAAGAATTTCATTTCCGTCAAGCCAAGCCAAGTTAGCTAAGTCAAGTCTTAAGTTAGCTACGT